AATTTCGTAATTTATTAATTGACCAATCAGATTTTACAAAAACAACTCGTGATCTACAAAAGATCTACATAAAATTATCCAATCAAACAAATTTCTTTCTTTGAGGATGAAGCACAAATTGTTGACAAACAACTTGTTCCAAGAAATGAAATTTAAATAAAATTGAATTTTTTAAAAAAATGTTTATCATATGAGTGCTGCGACAAATCATAAGGTGGCGAATAAATATCTAAAATATAAACTACATAACAATTGTTTATTCGTCGCGCCCAGTGTCAAATGTAGGGTTGGAGGCACGGAGGTTGGAGGCATGCCCTTATCTTGTGATCTATAGCTAACGTATTATTGGCTATTTTAGCGATTAACCAATTAGAATACAAATATCTTATTATAGTATATACTTTTATTATCCATATTATTTCTCATTGACAATCATTCACTGACAAGTTTATTTTACCAATAGTCTAGTTACTGAAGCTCATTTCACCAACAAGTTTTTTTTTATGACCCTAATGATATTGGCCAGAATTACTTTGTCTGTAAAATGAGCTTCAATGAAATAAGCTATTGATGAAATAAACTTGTTGATAATTGTCAGTGAGTTGATCGGATCCCCTTTTATATCTAGAGAAGCATGCCCAGGGCATAGAGAGGCATGCCCTTCGCAAAGGCATGCCCCTTGAGGCATGCCCCAAAAATTTGCCGTGCCTCCAACCCTAGTCAAATGGGTTAAGATCGGCAGTGATTAATAAATAATTTTACATACGTACAGGTTTTCCCTGTGCTGCACTCATATCGGAAATTTTCTTTGAAATATTGTAAATGTTGAATCTACTGTATAAGGGCAACGTATCATAAATCTTTCTATAATCACACAAAAAAGTGTGATTGTAAACAGTGTTGTCATTGGGTATGCTTGAACAAAGCCTTGGACATGTTAATACCTCAAAACTTTACTATGACAACCTAATTTAAATTTTTGAAAAAATAATTTCATATATAGAAATTTATTTTTGGACTTGGACGTTGGACATTGCAAAAAGAACCTTGGACATCAAAAATGTACAACACTGAAATTGTAGAGAAGTGCAACAATTATAAAGGTCAATCAATTTATTATATTTAATAATACAGTGTAAAAATTTATTTTATTAAAAAGTAAAAATATAACCCAGATTAAATATAATTTATTAGAGATATAATTTAAATATAATTATTTGTTATTAAAATATTTAAGTTATTTATCTTTCATTTGGAAATTCCTCAGCTACACTCATGCCAATTTTCTGTTGCTTATTTAAACATTAACTTATATGCTCGCTTATTTTTGATATGCCATAATAAAATAATGTATATTACAGTATATATAATAATTTAAAGGCCAGATGTGCAAACGAATCTTTAATAGTAATATACGTGAAATAGGTAGAAATATTAGCTATTATAAAGTATAAGAAAATTTTTTTTTACAGTGGTAATGGTATTCAATTATTTATAATTATAGGTAAAGTACTTATAAAAATGGACCAAAACTTTCCTAGAAATATAACCAACGATTAATATCATAGGGTATTTTACGTGTGGATCTGAAAAGGTTGATTTTAACCAGAGACTTCGTTACTTGGTTCATCATCTTGCAGTGTAAAAGAATGAGTATGACAAAATCTTCTAATAATAAGAATTGCAACAGCTGATAATATTATAAGTCCTGAAATTGCACCAAAAACAATACCGATAATTTTAATATTATTAGATAGATTAGATGCTGTAACATTATTACTTGGTGAAGCGCTAGAAGTTGCTGATGGTATTGTCGTAGTTGGGACTGATTGGAATGACTTAATAGGATCATATGATGTAACCCATTCATAATTATTTTTTTGACTCACATCGAGAAGGAAGACATTATTTGTACTATTATTTCCATTAGTATCTGAAATTTAATAAATTATTTATTAATAAAATTTTTTATATTCAAATTATAATGGTATAATAGTTTACTTACTTAATGCACCAAATGCAATAAAAACATAAGTCCCAATTAGTATTGATGTAAAACGTCTTAATCCAATAGTAGGTCCACCAGCATTTTTAATTGTAGGAATTGACCATTCAAACTTAAGGGTATCAAGCGCCATAATTGACATAGTTGAATAACTCGAATATCCATAAAATATTAAAATCTGATTAAATTGAGCTAAATTGATAGTGAAAAACAAATTTAATTATTACAGTCTAAAATAAAATATAATACTGTAATACATTGCAAATAAGGTAGGCCAATTCCTCTATGCCATTTTTATAGTAAAGTGTGCATTTAAGAGATTACTACTCATTATATAATTTTAAGTAAGTATTTAAAGAGACAATTACTTACATATAAAGACGGCACTGTGATCGTAGCGTGACGGAGGAATATTCCCTGATGTATTCTAAGCATAGATATAAAAAAGATATGTTTATTTAAATTTCGGAAAATTATTACGGTTGTATAATTAAAAAGCTATTAAGCCAAATTTGACTCAGTTTAACTTACGATCAAACTCCAAGTGTTATTATTCATATTATATAATGATAACTATTTGATTAATATTAGTTCCATTTATAAATTTACAGTATACGTATAAATTAGATAAAGTACTTATATAGTAAATCAAACCTGATCAAATAAAGGATAAGGAAGTGTCCTGACATTTCCACCTGGTTGACCTCCTATATATAATATAGATAAATTATTTAAAAGTATTGCACTATAGCCTTGAATTCCTCCAATTGGTGCTGGTCCAGGATATAATTCTGTCCAAGTTATAGTTAATGTATCTAATTTAATAATGTCGTTATGATTTGCAACCCCTCCATAAACATAAATACTATTTCCTGAAACAATACATTGAATAGATTTTCGATTTGTTGTAAAACTTTTTGCAGTTTTTAATTCACTCCATTGTTGTGCTGTAATATCATATACGGTGGTAAAATTATCACCTACATTGCCAGCACCACCAATATAAACAATTCGATTGTTATTCTCTCCATAAATACAAGCTGTTGAACCAGTTCTATTTGGTAGACCTGTAATTATTGTAAGGTCAACCCATGGCATTGATGATATATTGTCTATTGTAAATGATTTTGAGACATCAAGGTAAAAAAAGTCAGAAAGAGTAAAAGTCTCGCTAATTCCACCATAAAAATAAATTTTATTATTAATGAGAACTGCGGCTTGTTCTGCTCTCGGTGGAGGAATGAACGAATTTGCATTATTAATAATGAAAAGATAAATAAAAATTATTGACATAACGATAATTGATTTAATCATAATTTTACTAAAATCATGTTCAGGATGTTCATGAGAATTTAAAAAAATCTGTTAATCATTTTGTGTCCCAGAAAGTTCGAACTATTGTACTCGCATGTACATATTAATTCAAATGATACATAAAATAGTAAAATGAAATATAATAAATGTTTTAATCGATCTCGTGGCACTAATTAAAGATTACAAGAATGTAATTTACATATAAACAATCATAATTCTTCTTATAACCTCTTATACTAATCTATAACACTAATATTTTTATCCCAAAATCTTTTTCTGGCACAAAAGTAATTATGTAATTTGTGCGACAGAAATTAAAAAGTTTATGTACTTCTGTATTTAGATTTTCACTGTACTGATTAACATAATTGAAGTCAGTTTTTAATCCTTTATAGTAGATATTTGTGTGTGCAAGATGCTCGATTGCACAGTAAAAACTTCTCTTGACAACACCCACATTCATTTAAGTTTCTTTATTGATGCAGTCGTTGTATTTTTCTTCGCAAGAAAAGTATAATTTTCAAAACATCTTCGTAATAATTACATCATATTAAAATTTTAAGCATTGCTATAAACTAAAAATTTTCATTATAAAAATTTAAAATAAACAGTATTTACGTAAGAGATTTTAGCTGGTTCAATAATAATTTATACGATTGATTTTTTTTTCATTTTCATAATTATAGGTACCATAATGATTTAGGGAAATCAAAGTAATATTTCTATGAAGAGCCTTCGTCAATGCTGTTATTTTGTATTTCTTCAGAGAAATTTGATTATAAGAAAAATTTATATAATTTAAATTGGTATTTATGTAAAGGGTTTGCGTAAATTATTTTCCTCATTCATTACCAATATTAACTCCCTAAGCTGGTATAACATTGTAAGCAATAGTAAAAAATTATAAAGAATAATCATTTATAATTGCAAGAAAGATATAAGGATATTAAAGTAATGTTTACATGAAGTATTTCGGCCAATACTTTTCTCATTCATTACCAATACGGCTACCAATAAGAATTGTGTTTACATGAAGCGCCTTTCCTCCTTAATTACCAATATTATCTAAAGTTTTGAAGAAGTATTTATTGCTTTCCCACCTTCAGAACTAATGTTGTTATGAGAAAGGTACAAAGAAACAAGTGTATTTTTACAAATAAATTCAATAACACTAGTTTCTTCGGAATCATATTGAATTTATATAGGTTTAGTATTTATATAGATTTAGTAAGAAAGATTTTCAACCATGTTACTATAAATAATTCTCTTATCACTAAATATTTCAGTTTCTTACTTGTTATGATACAAAAATAGATCATGCCAAATCACAATCGAATCGGTTTCAATTTTAATATCAGGTGTCCCAGGTAGAGTTGGAACCAGTTTTGATCGGGTTTTAACATATGAAAAACAAAATCGATTCCAAACTCGAAGTCCTAGGAAAATTATGATAAATATAATATATAGCTGTAAATCAAAAAGTCTGCTGTGACTGACTTCAAGTTCTGCTTTCGATAAAGTCAATTTATGCGATAAAATTTCTAAAATTATGAGAATCGAATAGAAACATGCGACCATTTAACAAAAAATTAAATCGAACTCTCATCTAAAACATATTTATTATTTCAGTAATTCACCAGCAGATGCACGGGTTTTCCTCCTATTTCAAATTATCTTTTTTATGCGCAGATTATGCCCTTCGCCTACCTATATAATTATGCATATGCTATTGGGGTTTCCGATATACTAATTAATCAAATCTATGTCATGTATAATAGTAAAAATCATTAGTACAGATTTTTACATGCTAATTAGCCAATAGAATTGTACGCAGAATATCACCTGTTACTTATCGAATAGAATTTCAAGATCTATGTGTAACAAAAACTTTCAGACTATCGCCGTTAGAATAAAAAAAAAACTTTATATGAGTGTACAATGCCTTAACACTACCCAATACTTTAGTAAACTATTCAGGGTTTTCGAATTTTATTTGAGTTCACTTACTTAATATTGTAACTGACTCGATTTTGATTAAACTTACATAGATACGCTAGTAGAAGACTGTAGAAATATCGACTCTAAGTATTTATGTCTATATTAAATTAATTATATTATAAAAAATATAACTTTTTTTTTTTTTTGAATTTCACAAAATTACAACTAGTGGCACATAAATAATTCTTTAAAAAGATTATCAGCATCTTGTCTATCCAACTGAAGAAAAGTTTGTTGGTTATTAATTCTATTTTCACTTTGAATATCTTTTAGTTGATTATGATCTAATTGATATCTTTATTCTGGCTATAGAAAGACGCATTCTGGATTGTTGAGTATTATTAGTCATGTTTGGATGAGTTTTTAAGTCCCATTTGTTGAATAAACCCTCAATCTGTTGTTGATAGATGATAATATACCAGATTTTGTTTTTAACAAAATCATAGAGCTGCGGGTATTGGTGAAGTTGAACATTTGATTCTCTAATAAATGCACTGAATTCTTGAAAAAAAGACTCTTCAGCTAAGGCTGTTTTAAGTCCAAAATCGTTAAATTCTTTTTGTTTTATATCTGTTTTAAGAAATCGTGCATAACTAAGTTCTTTTAAAGTAGGAAACTTGGGCCAAGGTTTTTTAAGCACAATGTGCCAGTAACTATGTGCGAATTGTTGTGCATTATTTCCACCAAGATGACACATGCTTAAAGGAAGATGAAGCCAACAATTTAACCATTTTTGGTGTGGTTCAAGCCCTTTCTGTACACTATTTTCCAATTTTTGAACTAATAATTCAATTTTTGAATTATCCAAAATTTTTATACTTTGTAGAAGTTCACTACCAAAAAATGAATAAAGATTTTCCATGATGTTTACAAGTTTAGATGTTGAATTAACAATGAAATCTGGCATTTAATATGCTTGACAACCTGAAGGCCAGCATTGTAACCAGTGTTGGGCAGACCAGACCAATTTGACTATTTGATCAGACCAATTTAACCAATTTGACTGGTCTAGTCAAGGGATCTATACTGGTCAAATTGGTCAAATAGAATATTTAAATATAATTTATTTATAATATATATATTATAATTATATAATAGGCTTGACCAGTTTGACCAATTAACCAATTTGACCAGACCAATTTGACCAGCAAATTTTTGGTTGACCACTAATTTGCCCAACACTGATTGTAATGAATTATCAGGCTGTAAAACCTTTAATTGGGGATTATAACTGATGAGAAATTCTGAAAATAGATGGTAAAATTCTTGATCAAATTTAACTAAACATTGGACTTCAATGTTTAGTTCAAAATCATTTAGCCAATCTTGAAATAGTTCCTATTTTTGAATATAGGATTTTGGAACTTTTTTTAAAGTTTTAAGTTTTGGAAAGAACCACGAAACAAATTCAATATGAATTTTGCATCTTTCAAGGTATTGTTCCGCTGTGATTAATTCATATTGCAACCTTGATCGTAAGGAATATTGATATTTAGTTAACTTATAATTAAGCTGTGCCTTATAAAGGTTTTGAATTATTTCACTTCTCATATTTAGTAGTGAATCCTTATCGCTTTGGTCATATCTGTCATGTAACATCCAGCTAGGTAAAAAAGATTAAATAGATAACATGTCTTTGAAAACCTGGTACTTTTTGGAATCTTACCAAAGGCTGTCTTTTCAAAATTATTTAAGATTAAATGTAGTATATGTAATCTACAGAGAATTCGAATACAATTACTTTGGGCTAATTGATTGAATTTTGTTACAGCATCTCTGACATGACTGCTCATATAATTTGTATTATCAGAGAGAAAGGTGAGACATTGTGAAGTATCAAGCTTATATTTTGTACAAGATTCAAAAAGAGCCTGTTAACTGTATTCAAATTGTAGTGCCAAAGGTCCTTTGTTCTAAGAGCACAATATTAGGCATATTTTTTCTGAATTCCAAAACATAAAGCATTCCATTAATATTTTCTTTTTACCTTGATCCGATTTATCTGCCATGATCCTGAAAGCAAAATGAGCTGACTTATTAGCTTGCTAAAATATATTTCTTACATTCAACTCTGATACTTCACAATACTAACAGCTAACAGTGTCTTTAGAAAGCCAAAACTGTGTATTATCTCCTGTTAAAAAATTAAAAACAGATTTGATACTTTTTGCCACTGTATTAAAAGACATTTGACTGATTTAAGAAACTTGCACGGTAAGCTTAATAAAATCTGCATTATATTCTTTTTTGGTTTGTTTTATTAAATTATTAATTACAGTTTTTAAATTATTGTCTTTTAATTCTGGTGGACATTTGGTTACTACACAAACCCGAGAGATATGATGATAATGCTTATGCTTAGCTGCATAATAAAACTGCTAAGTTGTTTAACTTTATAAGTTACATGATCTTTGGATTGTTGTAACTTTTTAACATTCTTTTCAAGTTGCTTATTTTTATTATTTAATCCTTCTAATAACTTTTTAGGTTTGTAAAGAGAATTAGAGACGTATTGAATTGCTTTGTTTTGTATATAGGGTGATATAATTTGGTCTTTATTTTTTTCATACGGATATCTCATTGTATGCAAAAGATGAGTTGATTTGAAATCTGTTTCAGACATATCTTTAATAATATTAACTATTGTATTATATACTTTAGAAGAATCAGGCTTATTAACATTTGAAATATTAAAGATTGTATCATTGATTATTTTAAGTTCTTGATCAGTGGTTTCTTTTAAGTGATCTGTTATTTCATTAATAGTTTCTTGACGCTGATTCAGTTTGCACTTTTTTGTCAAGTGCTTTACATGCATGTTTTAGGTGAAGTCCATGTTTAGAAGGATAAGGCATTGTGTAAAAAAATTCAATAATAAAATCACAGTTCATTAAGTTCGCTTGATATGCTTTTAACCTTTTATTAACAAAGGCCAAATTGAAACGAATACTCAGTTTTTTTAGT